TAAGGAGGAAAACAGCTGTCCCTTCTGTGTCTGTGTGCTGTTAGTGCTGATCCTGTGGGTATTTATGGGAGTTGTGGGAAGTCAATCTGAAGCTCACTTTGCACTTCTGCAGTATGATGCTCATTACTTTCTGCATGCCTTTTGAGGAATTGACTGTTACTTAAGGTTATCAGTCTTGCTTGAGTAGAAAGACATGAAGTTACGTTTAATTAAATTACAATCGATCTAGCTAGAAATGGGACAGTGCCGGTAGCTGTGTTGTTCCTATGCACTGTCACTATATTGCAGTTTTGTGTGTGAAGCCTTCTCCTGGTTGCTCTATGTTTCCTGCACACAACACGCAGTCTCGTATTCACCATAAGCAGTATGACTGGTTGTTTTCAGGGGGCTTCTTCTAAAGTGCTCAGTTGCTGACATAGAATCATGGAATCATAGAATGGCTTGAGTCGAAAGGGACCACAATGATCATCGAGTTTCAACCCTCCCTGCTGTGTGCAGGGCTGCCAGCCACTAAACGAGGCTGCCCAGAGCCACGTCCAGCCTGGCCTTTAATCACCTTTTCCCTCTCACTAAATAATGCTGACACCTGTGGAGCCCCCACCTGGCTGCACCAGGGCTGTGTGTTACCCACACGTTCTTTTTAATTAACATGGACTTTTTTATAATACAGTTGTTGTTTTATTTATTTTTCGGGACTACCATTTCCACAGAAATCATTCTCTGTAAGGTACATGAGCTAGAAGGGGAGCATGTATTTTGAGATTCGAGAAGGGTGGGGAAGGCAATGATGAAAAAAGGAGGAATCCGAAGAGGAAAAGTGAGTTTGCAATTCAAGTAATCCTGATGGGACAGAGGAAAATATTACCTTGATGGTATCACAGAGGAGCAAGATGGGATGATGATATCATCATTGGGGAGCAAGAAGCAGGATGGAGGCAGGACTTGGAGAGTGACAGCAGAGATGTGATCGGCTGCACTGCCAGGCTTCTTCTTTTATCCTACATCTGCCAAGTGCTTAAAAGTAAGTGCTTGGTCAGAGGGTGTATACCATGTCTCAAGGGATTGGAACCAGATGATCTTGGTACCTTCGAACCCAAGGCATACCATTGCTTAACGACACTGTGATCAGAGCATGACTTTGAGTAAACCATATATGCCCATGTATAATTAAAGTTATGTAAATAACCCATTGGAAATATATTTGCCTGGCTGGATGGCTCAGATTCAATGCTCCAGCCTGCCTTTCTTACTCATTTCATCTCAGATTTTCTTGACTTGTTTGTTTAAAACAGCTTTTCACAGCAGGAAGCTGGTCCTCGATGCATTTCCACAGCACCTCGCTCAGTGGGGCAGCTTTGTTAATAGCAGCCCTGGATGTCCTGCCCAGCAGATGGCCGTGGCAGGGCCCCTCCTGCTGCCCTTCCCATAGTCAAAGTTCAGGTCAGGTGGAAAGGAGCTGTGGTTGCACTGCAACTGGTTTGAATTGGTTAGCTTTTTTCTTCCCAAAGTTTGGTCTTTTGGAAGCGGGTAGGGATTTAGGTCTGGATCTTTTCCATAGCTTATTTAATTTTTGTTTATTCTTCCCTTGATGAAGGGGGGGGAACCAAAGCCAATATAGACAGTGAAGAACTGCTACTGTTATTTTGGTGCCTTAAAGGATTTGTTTGCCCAGTTTTGCAAACGACAGTTTCCTCTAATATGTCTAATGGGATTTAAATGTCTTCAACCTATGTGCATATCCTAATGAAGATCAAACCGTCATTAATTTCTTGGTGACTCTCACACCATAGTCCAGAATGAAATTGGAATGATCTACTAGCTGCTGTCTGGAGTCAGATTAGAAAGAGACTGCCATTGTCATTCATATTTTACATCTGAAGTAAACAAGGCAGAAAATAGTAGGAAGTGTTACCCATTTTTGTATAGATGGGTTACTCCTGTAAGTATCTTTTTCTTTTCTTTTCTCTTTTTTTCTGTTTTCCTTTTTCTTTTCTTTCAATCCTGGCTCTGGGAGGAACCAGCATGACTCTTTTTCCCAGGGGACGAAGGCATGTGCATTGCCAGTGCAGCCTCTGTGCCATGAGCTGAGTGCCCCGAGTGGACAAAACATGGCATGGGTGACTGCTGCTAAGCAATCCATTTCTAATGGCTGCATTACAATTCAGTACCTGTAGTACAATTAGAAATAAAGAGATGCATTCTGCATTTTCGTTATATTTTTTTTAATCCACTGAAATAAATGGAATGGGGGTGAACCAAGCCCTGAGCTTAAGGTACAATGAATTACTACCCGTTCATTTGAGGCATATTTTCTAAGGAGAGCTATTTAAGGCTTCTTGATTATGATCAGAGATGACAATAATTACTTTGTGGGAAAAGCACGAACGAATGAATTTGGTTTTTTTTCTGCACTTGATCATTGCACAATAGATGGTGGAATGATAAATTCGTTGTGAAACAACATTGCAGCAGTGTGTCAAGCTGTTTTTCTTTATCATTATTATTTCATTGCAGATAAATGTCAGGGACAATATTTGAAATTAGATGACATGCATGATGACATACCATTGAGCCATGGAGATGTGACCAGGGACCAAAGCTTGTTTGCAAAATTGGGGTCCTTGGGAGCAAAAAGAAATAGGAGTTTCTTACAAATAATATCAGAATTCATTCTGAGTTTCTTAGACAAGGTCTAAGGTTATTGCAGAGAAGCCTAACACCTCATTACCTTGCAAGGCATGTGCTGAAGTCCACGTGTCTCAAGAATGGGGTATAATTCTTAGGTTTTTCCAGGTTACTGTCACGTGAGGTCAGTCTATCACTAGAAGTTGGACTTGTGCTGTTGGTAATGTTCTGGCTCTTTTTTGACCCCATTTTGCTGCCAACTGGTCTGGTTTGTGATAAGGACTCCAGCAATGTAAGTTTGAAGTTAGACCTTTTGTCAGTTCTTGTTTTTTTTTCAAAGTTAGAATCACTGTACTTTTAGAGTGGTTTACCATTACACACGTTTTCTTCATGGAGGAGCAAAATGTGGTCAGCACAGGAAGGCGGAATGGCAGGTGATGAGGGCTGGTGTTGGGACCCAACAGGTGGCTCTTTCTCACAACCAAGGCTCTTCCCTCCCTGCTCCAGCTGTTGCAACCCCATTGATTGATGATGAACTTTAGTTATCCAGTATAAATGGTAATTCAGGCAATTCTCCTTCCCATCCCCCTATAGTCTGTCAGTGCTGCTAAAACAGCATTTATAACTGGCACAGAAGGCTCCTTCATTGTTGTGCTCCTTTTATTATTTTTCTTTTTTTTTTCCCTTTGGTATTTTCTGCTGTTTTCCTCCTCCTAGCAGGCTTTCCCATTAGGTTACTTTGTTGAATGTATCTCTTGTCTTTCGTGGGTTTCATTTCTTCAGTTCTATTCACAGTTCCAGATACTTTCAGATTTATCCCCAGATTCCCTGTAAGTTTACAGAATCTCTCCTCATCAGACTATGAAGTCCCATGACTTAATTTGAAAATTAAAAAAACTGTGGATCATACTTGTTTGGTTTTTTTTTTTCAGTATTTCCTCCAAACACAATTTATTTTTCCCCCAAAACATTTCTGCCCAAACCTTCTGTTTTATGCTCCCAGAGTGAAAAACTTAACAAAACACTGAAAATCATTCAGTTGTTAGGAAGCCAGTTTGGATTTGCCTCATTATTTAGGTCCCGCAGTTAAAATTAGGCCAGGCTACAAGCCTCAGAAGGTGTTTGCTTAATTCCACACAGCCAGGCAATCTGCTTTAGAAGCAGAAATGGTTTGAGGGCTGAACAATGCAACACATAAAAGCATCTTTAGCACGTTAAACTCTCAGTGATTAAATGATGTTTTAAAGGCAGATTTAAAATCGTCCACTTGCAGTGCTAAAGTGAATTGAAGTGTCAGACTTTAATGCATAGCAGTAATATCATAGGCAGCGTTGCATAGGAAGCAGCTTTACAGCAGTCGAGGATTCTCAAAGAGCAAAAGCCAGATGCAGACTTCCCTGTAGTCAACAGAAGGATGTTTTCCTTTATCAGGAAAGTCCTGCAACACCAAATGTCCCCAGTGTTACTGGAATACAGTGTCCAGGTCTGGAGCCCCCAGTACAAGAAAGACAGGGAGCTGTTGGAGGGGGTCCAGAGGAGGGCCACGAAGATGATCAGGGGGCTGGAGCACCTCCCTTATGAAGACAGGGTGAAGGAGCTGGGCTTGTTCAGCCTGGAGAAAAGAAGGCTGCAGGGTGACCTCATTGCAGCCTTTCAGTACCTAAAGGGAGCCTACAAACAGGAGGGGAATCAACTCTTTGAAAGGGTAGATAGCTGCAGGACAAGGGGAAATGGTTTTAAGTTGAGGGAGGGAAGATTTAGGTTGGATGTCAGGGGGAAGTTCTTTACAGAGAGAGTGGTGAGGTGCTGGAACAGGCTGCCCAGAGAGGTTGTGGATGCCCCATCCCTGGAGGTGTTCAAGGCCAGGTTGGATGGGGCCCTGGGCAGCCTGGTTTAGCATTAAATGGGGAGGTTGGTGGCCCTGCATGTGGCAGGGGGTTGGAGATTCATGATCCTTGAGGTCCCTTCCAACCTGGGACATTGTGTGATTCTCTCCCTCTGCCTGAAATGCCAGACTCATCCAGCTTGTTTTTCAAATCTCCCTAATTAACAATTCACACAGTATGAAACTGGAGAAGCACTACCACTTCTTGCCATGTTTCAAATTGTCCATTGACCTCATTGTGCTTTAGCACGGGATTATCTAATTGGTTATATGATCAACACTTGGACATGCAACCTTGTTCCATCTTTCCCCGACATATTAAATTGCTAGGCAATTAACAAGATTTGAGGCTTTATGTAATCTTTGTAATGTCTGCACAGGCATAATGGTGAGTATATTTGTGTCCGAAATCATTAAAAAAAACTTCATGTTGCTGAATTTCTTGTCAGTTTTATTTTTTAATTTTCACAGTTTTCTTTTCCCTTTTTAGGTATTACGTAGAGATGGCTTCATGGATCTGGACGCTAAGCATTGTGAGCTGCTTTTGCATCACCTTTTCCAGAAGTGAGGAACTGAAATTTTTTCAGAGCGCCACAGAGCTAAATCATCTAACAGTGGATAATGACACTGGCATAATCTATTTGGGAGTGGTAAATGCTCTGTATCAGCTTACAGAAAATCTGGTGGTACGGATACATGTGGAAACGGGGCCAAGAAAGGACAACAAAAAATGCACACCTCCCATTGAAGAAAATCAATGTAAAGAGGCAGTACTGACTGACAATTACAACAAATTATTGTTGCTGAACAAGGAAAATAAAACAATTGTGGTGTGTGGAAGCCTTTTTAAAGGGATTTGTGCCACCAGAGATCTAGAAAACATTACCAAAGTTACGCATTATGTGGAAACCAGTGGAGAGAAGTCCTTTGTAGCAAGCAACGATGAGAATGTGTCAACGGTGGGGCTGATCACTTCCTTGGACAATGATCAGGTGCTGTTTGTTGGGAAAGGGAACGGGCCAAATGATAATGGGATAATAATCAGCACTCGGCAGCTCCACGAGAAGGACGGGAAAGACATTTTTGAAATGTATTCGGACTCGGCGGCTGTAAAGTCAGCCTATCATTCTTCAAGCACACAGCAATTTGTGACAGTCTTTGAGGATAAAAATTACGTTTATTTCATTTTTAACCAGCAAGAGAAGCAGCCTGTCAATAACCGCACACTAATTGCACGTCTTTGCAAAGATGATGCCCATTATTATTCCTACTTTGAAATGGACTTGGGTTGCAAAGATGAGGATGGTTCCTACGATCACTGTCATTCTGCTTACGTCACCACCCCAGGAGAAGAGCTGGCCAAGAGCATGGCTCAGCAAAGACAAACTACAGATTCTGCCTCGGATGACAAAGTGCTCGTTGCACTCTTCAGCAAAGTAAACAAAGATAATGGCTCCTTAAAATCTGCCATGTGTGTGTTTTCGTTGAGGCACATCAATGAAAAAATGGAGAAAAACCGGGATGATTGCTACACAAATAAGAATACCAGCATGTTTTACAAACTCTTTGCAGTAGAAAACCCATGTGGACCACATGGACAGGTAATGTCAGTTATCAATATTAGAATCCGTGAAAGGAATAGTGGAAAATATACAACTGCATGCATTTTATGTAGCTTTGAGATAAAATATAGTGAGATTAGATGCTGGAGAACTTTATATTCACTCAGTGGATTCACTACAAAATTGAATGTGGTTGGGAATGTTGTGAAACAGATCAAGCAAGAAGCAACAAGATATTTATAATTTACCGTATTTTGAAACAGCGTTGATGTCTTCTAAAAGATGAATATTATCTGGTTTCATGAATGCATTTCTGTTAAGGAGTTCTTTCTAGTGTGGAAATTACTGAGTCAGAAACAGTGATTTGTTATGCCCATGTTCAGCTTCCAGATGATTACTACAGACAATTCTGTTCACAGCCAACGTATCTGTAATGTTTTTAAGTGGTATTACTGATCTCGAAGGTGATACCTGGAGTTCAGTGTTGTTTCTCACTTGGATTTGAATTTTCAGATAATTTGAAATATGCATGTTTCTTGTATTCAGGTGGCTTTCATATATTTCTCTGTCTCAAAATAGATCCTCAGCATGAGGGTGACCTTGCATGTCTTTTCGTGGCTTTTCATTGCCTTGGATACTGGAGGACATTGACATCCTTCAAGATACTGATTCTCAATTTATGGCTCTGGCTTTATGATGCAGTTTTCAGCTTCTCTGTTAGACGTTTGCTTTTGTCCATGCCTCTCAACCTATTCCCACCCTCACTTGTGCATGCCATTTGTTACTGCAGCCAACTGTAAACTGGGATGAGGGACTGAATCACCTTAAAAATAAGTCAGCAAACATGAAGAAAGATGTCTTAATTCCCCAACGCAAATAAGTTACACACTTGCATAAGCAGTTGCTTGAGCACAGCTTGAAAACTGGTGTGCTGCAGCCCAGGGGTAGGAGGGATCACCTGAAGGGATGAGGCATGGAAATACCAGCTCATTACTGGTGTTGACCCAGAATCCTTCATCTCATGAGATCACAGCCATGTAGTAGATCTCTAACACTGAATAGAAGCCAAAACGCTTTTTGCTTCCAAACCCCAGTTTTTCTCACTGCAGTACCCTGCATCTGAAGTGAGCACCAGATTACACAGATTATGATTATGAGAATTGGAGTGGCCTGGGCTTCCAGCAAAAGGGAGATGTGGATTTCCAATCAGAGAGCAGAGTAGCAGGAAAGACAAGGTGTGGATTAACCTTTTTTCTGCAGTTTCAGATTAAAGCGTATTGAAAGTGTTGAATGTTCACAAGGCAATTGCCAGTGGGCTGCCTTTCTATGGAGTGCAGCAAATTGAAAACCAAAACAGCTTAAAAAACAGTCCTCAAAACAAAACTGGTAAACCTGATCTATATGACAAGCTAATTAGATGAACTGGTTAGTTTTTAATCTGTGCTTCTGCAGTGAAACAAAGACCATTTCCTCTCTAGGTCTCCTGGAAAGCAATAGCACTGAACCAGTTTGCAATTAGCAGACTGCTTTCTGATTGTGGCTCGTTGGCTTGTAACGTGGCCAGGGAACCCATTTCTCTTTTTCTGCTCTCCTATGTCTGAAGGGTATCATATTGTGGTAGCAGGGTTACACTTCATTCTTAGGTGGGAATTAGTGATCTGAATGTTTAACATCGCTCTGTATTGCTATTCCTTATTAGAATGCAAGCAAAAATTTCCCCTGTGGCTCTGAACACTTACCATACCTCTTGGGAAGTAAAAATGGTGTTATAGAGAAGCCAGTATTACAAAAAGAAGGGATGAATCTCACGGCTGTTACTGTGACTGTGGAGAATGGGCACACCGTGGCCTTTCTGGGGACTTCAGATGGAAAAATTCTTAAGGTAACAAATCTGACTTCAAAGCTTGGAGCGTGTTGAATAGGTTGCAAACTGTTCTGATAACGTGTTGATACTCTGAAAGTGAACATGATTTAGAGGATCACATAGCAGGAGCAGATTCTCTTGGCACTCAATGTCTTTACTTTCAAAGAAAAATAAAGACAGGTTACTTCTTGTGTACCTCAGCTTTCCAGTATGTAGGTAGAATTAGCATTGCCTGGATTATACTTCTCCCAAAGGTTTAGATACCTACATGGAGCCTTATAAAAATATCCCTAGGTAATCTAGCATCTGCTGTGGCCTTATAGCTATTCAAGCCCCTACTCGTTTAAGAGCACATTTTCATTTTGTAATCATTGTGGCCATTCAGTGACCAGAATACAGAAAACAATTTAAAGCTAAAGCAGGAGCTTTGACTGTGGGAACATGTGGTTCAAGGGTTTGTGTGTCCATACTGTTAAACTATGGAGACTGTCACACCGTGTGTGTTATTTTGCTGAAGACAAGTGATGGCCATGTGTCACTATTTTGTTTGAAGTGTGAAGCTGATACAACTGCTTATTGTAAGGGAGGTCAGCAAATTTGAACACCTTTAAGAGCTGTGGCTCCAAGTTGAAAATTTGAGTTTTACAACACTCAAATAAATCAGTATTTAGAAAAAAAAAAAAATCAATGGAAATACTAGCTATTGTGAGCTGTGAGCAATTTCTTTTCCATAATTTTTCTGCTGTGTTTGCTGCCTTTAATGCTAAATACTTCAGATTGAAATGTTTTCACCAATATGAATTTGTGAACTTGAGCAAACATAGCATTTTCATTCATGATAATTGAAAAAACAGCAACCTTTACCACCCTTCTTTCTTCCATGGAACAGGTGTTCCTGTCATCCACTGTAACTGAGTACAGTTCTCTGACTATTGAACTAAATAAACCCATAAAGAATGATCTGGTCCTTGACAAAACCCAAGAATATCTATATGTGATGACCACAGACAAGGTAATGTATCCCTCTCTTTTTAAGCATCAGGTCCAGTTTAACTTTCTCTGTGACTTTACCTGAGATTTGAACATTTCTCTGTCATTCCTGGAACCCACCCTAGTCACTGGGTCTGCTCCTGCGCTGCATTTGTGTGTGCACCTTCACAGGCAGAAGGACAGCAGGATATTACAAATAAATGAAAATGCTGCTGGGATTATGGGGTAGATGAAGACAGTGTGAATTATGTACCTCCTTCTACCAGCTTCAGCCCCCCTGTGCTTTTTGCTCCCTCAAGCAGAGGTGATGGGCTTAATCACTTGACTGTCACTTGGAGAACGGTTACATCCTTACTACTCAGAGTGAGATCAGGAAGTGAGTTCACCTCTGAAGCTCTGTAATGGGGTCTGGGCAAAGGATGAAGCTGTGATGTTTGGCACTAGAACGCCACAGGGTCAGGCAGCCACTCATCGGGGAGAACGCTTGAGCTGCCTACCTGTGCCACATATTTAGGGAACCTGCTTTAGCAGGGGGGTTGGCCTCATTGATCTCTTGAAGTACCTTCCAACTCCCGCCATTCTGAGATTCTGTGAATACTTCAGGATTTGGGATGCTAGTAGCTGACACAGCAGTGTTTTCATATATTTAAAGTGGCCAAGAGCTTTCACGGGTCTTGCTGTTAGAAGGTAAGAAGCAATGGAGAGACCTAGAGCTTTGGGAAACGTCCTTGTATTAGCTTCTGCCTAGAGCTGTACTGCTGCAAGAGGAATAGTCGGACTGCTACAGAAGTAACAGGCGGTCTCTTCTTGGTTCACCTTCTCTGAGCTGGAACAGTGAAGATTTTTGAAGGGAAAACAAAAGCAAGAAGGAAAGGAGGAGGTGGGAGGGATGCCACTTACAGCTGCAACCTGCTCATGGCACTTCCCTATGTGGTCACTCACACTCATGGTCCAGCAGCTCTCCGGGATGGGAGAAATGACAGACTGCCACCACAGCAGCACTGATGGGGACACTCAGTGGGATGTGGGAAATGGCCCAGCAGCAGTAACACAGGGAGAATTCTGATGGCTGTGGAAGGAGAGTACTGGGGAAATGGTGGGGGAAGTATATTCCTGCAGGTTAGTACCATTTTTTTTAGTAGTTGGTACTTCAGATTTGGAACAGAACTTCAAACTTCAACAGAATCTACATGAGGCTGCACAGCCTGGCACCCCATGGGACACCAGCAGATTGCTTCAGCCCTGATATCCCCACCAGGCTGAGCAGCGTGAGCACTGGAGCAACCTGAAGCAAGGCAGGTTTTCTGGTGATAGTCAGCTTGAAATAGAATTTAGGAAGGCCGCTAATAGTTCCATATCTACAAAATGTTTAAATTGAGAGTGCAGAAAATCTCTCCTAAAGAAGCTATTTCAGTTTAATCTTTTCTTAGTAGCTCTCATAGACACATCAGTTTCTAAATAATGGGAATAATAATTTTCTTTTACAAAACCTGTTCAGCTTAAATGTGAATAACTAAACTTGGGAGCTCTGTCATGGCATTACATTACTGTCATCTCCAGGAGTTAATTATAATGAGCAGTCCCACCCACTTTGAAAGCCAGATAGAGGAGAATGGAGGCCTTCAGAGCCGGAAGAAATGAAGTGACAGAAGTGAGGGGGGAAGAATAAATGCTGAAACATGCTCTGCTGTTTTCAGAACGGCTGCAAGTTGTGGGAAAAGATGTACCAGAACCCTGCCCTGGGGGTTAAAATGGTTTTCAGTTATTTAAAAGGAGGTAAACAATGAAGTGCACAATCGCTGCGCTGCTGTGCATGCTGAACGCTGACCTGCCTGGCAGATGCAGCACTTGCCACCCAAGTGATGTGATGGATGATAACGTGAAGCAGCCTTTAAAAATAAATTAGATGATGGCAAAATATAGGGAAGAGTGATACGGAGCTTAAGATTGCAGAGAGAATCCACCTTTTGCTTTCCTGTTTCATTTCTTCTCTCACTCCCCCCTTCCCCTTTTCCCCCCATCCTCTTTTACCAAGCAGTGGATGGCTCAGAGCAGATGCTTTCAAAAGTCAGTTCTTCCTTCTTATCCTTCTCCCAGAGCTGGGCAGGGGTCAGGAAGGCCCAGTGAAGCAAGAAAGGACTGCACCACTCCTGCCATACTCAGTGTAGGCCATTAAAAGTAAACAGAAGTGGGAGGATCTTGGATTCCTTCTGATACATCTCGTATCAGCAGTAAAACTGAAGCCTGTGGCAGTCACCATTCTCACCACTTTCTGTGCTTGTTATGGCTTTTACCTCTCTCTGGTTAAAAATGCCAATGAGAAAAACACTAAAATCTCTAAAATCAGTTTCTCTGTGTTTTGGGGGTTGGACACGATGATCTCTGGAGGTCCCTTCTAACCCCTACAATTCTGTGATTGTGTGATTCTGTAGCTGTCTGTAAGCCGAGCTGCTATTTTTTCTGTAAAAATCTTTTGGTTTATGTAAAACTTGTAGAGACGGCCAACTCTGGAGCTTGTTTCTGCTTTCTAGAATTATGAAACAGACACTTTGTCATAAAAAAGCCATTCACTGGATATTAAATTATTCACGAGAGGGGAGCTGGTTAGAGAAGCGGTGTGCCAGTAACTCAGCTCTGGGTAGGAAGCAGCCTGTGGAAGAAAAAGAAAGTACTGAAGAGATAAGCCTATGTAGTCGTAAATGCATGAACGCCACCAAATGTTGATGTTTTCCTTAACTGAGTCACCGAATCCCAGAACTGTAGGGGCTGGAAGAGACCTTTGGTGATCATCAAGTCCATCCGCCCTCCCTGAGTCAGGTTGAACTCTTCTAAGGTGAAATGAGGCCAGATTCGGACTTGCAAAGTAGCTTTGTAACTGCCAGTGGGTTTAAATGAGAGGATTAGGTTAAAAAAAAAAAAAAAAAAAAAAAAGCTTACATCCCTCTTCATAGGTAAAACACGGTCCTTAACAGTCTGGGAGGAGTATGTCCCTTCCCCTCTTGCACAATTCAGCAGCATAGTTAAAAGTGCTGATTATGTGCCAGCTCATTTTTCTGGGCATTGAAGAAAGACCAAATTGTTTATTCTCACCCTCAAAGAAAATCAAAACCAGAAGCCACGTATTTACGGGGAGTCTGAGAATTGACGGTGCTGCTTCCTGCCACAGTTATTTCCATTCTCTGTTGTAAACTTACTGCATGGCAGCAGAGTTAAGCTTGGAGAAGTGCGGCGCTGCAAGCACCAGGGCCCTCTGAGGATTTCAGACTTCCTGCAGTGCCTTCTGGCTGAAAGTGCCACGTGTGGTTACATTTCCAAAGGATTTCAATCTCATGCTAACAACAGGAGGAGGCTATTGTACGTACAACTGATCTAGCTAGTGCTATGTTAACCTGCAGGAAGAATCTGTCCTGCAGTAGCTGTTTCTTGGGTTGGAAAAGATGTTCTCACATTTCTGTTCTGCAGCATCTGCTGAAATGCACATGTCCAGAAGTAGCTTAACCTAACTGCAGGAACTGAACGGCTTTTTAAGATTTTCTCGTGATTCTTTATTATGGCAATGAATTCTGCTAGTTTGGAGAGAGACTAGAGAACACTGGAGTGAAGAAGAGCAGGAAAATATGTGAATTTGAGCTTTAAGTCATGACCAGGGGGTTAACCAAGTTCCATTTTAAAAAACCAAATTGCACCTGTACATAGTTATAAGGGGTCTTCTGCAGTGGGCGGCGGCGTTGTGCAATCCCATCCGTAAGCTTTTCAGTCTCCTTGTGCCTTCCTCAGACACGTGAAGGTTTGTCTTGCTATTGGCTCCCCAGGTGCATCGCCTTCCCGTACAGCAGTGCCACAAGTACTCAGACTGTGAGAAGTGCACGCAGGCCCAGGACCCGTACTGCGGCTGGTGTGTGCGGGAGGGCAGGTGAGTCCCACAGGGGTTCTGCAGATGTGGGCAGTGAAGGTGCTGGAGGAGGCCTCAAGTTGTGGCACGTGCCTTCTGTTATTGCTTTGCGTAGTGATTCCGGTTCTTTGTACTCAGACTCTCAGTACTGACAGGGATTGAATTTTATCACACTGACATTGGTATCAATCTTCCATGTACACAAATAAGTCCCCATTGACTTCTGCAGATTTCATTAGTTTGGGAAAATATATACGCTTCTGCTGGTACTGAAAATCAGTATACATCTTGCAACTGCAAGTTTTATGGCTCTCTGAACCATGCAGTCAGAGGTTCTCCCAAAAGTTAAGAGTGCTCCCTATTTAAAATCCTGAAAATATAGCATTTATTTTAAGTAGAGATGCAAAACATAATAAAAGAGCGTAAAGGAAGAAATTGCTAATGTCTGAACATGAAGTATATAGATAAAAGGCTGTTTGTAGGTAAATGTTAGCTATGGAGACATTTAGCTACACCGGGCTCTCACCTCATTGCATGAGAGCAGAAGCTGGCCTTTGGCTGACTTCTCTGCAGAGGTTATCTGAATTAATATTCAAACATATGCAAACTAGAACAATTCTGGATGTCTCTTCTTTACATTGCACATTGATTGGAGTGGTGAGAAGCAAGTGCGGTCCTACAGCTCTCTTTTTGACTACTAAGTTAATTAACCCCTTGGCATGAGCAGTTGGGAATTCATGGTTCTAAGTACTCGCTGTTGGAACAAAGGGGCTATTTAATTATAGCATGCAGATGAATTTCAGGCTTCCAGCTTCCTGCCTGAAAATGTGAACCTTCACATTAAGTTACCTAACAGGCTGTTGTGCAGCATAATGTGAAGCACTGCAGAGAAACTTATGTGTTTGTACACATTTATGCAATATTCTGTACTAACTCTTCAAGACCAGGCTTCAGCTTCAGTGGATGAAACCTGGGGATTTGGAACATGCAACTCAAACTCCTCCTGGCTACTCAGAGTTGAAGGCCGTGTCATATATCATACAGGAAGCAATTTCTCCTAGATTTCCCTTCAGGTTTCTGATACAACCACTGACCTCAATAACTTGAAGTATTAATGATCTCTGAGAACAAGCAAACGTGAATTTTTGCATTTGGTAGTATTTCTCCCAGTAGAAATAGAAGCACATGATTTCTAATGTTTTTCTCACCTGCACCAAGTTCTGTCTCATCTTCACATGCAGCGCTTAATTGTGTGTTTAGGGACGTGTTATATGAATGTAGACTTTGTATGTAAATGATATCCTTAGGGTAGTGCTGGCAGAACTGTTCAGCAACAGTACTATACTAAGGCCCCTGATGAGTTAATAGACTTTTGTTACAACACCCAGAGATATTACAGAGTTTTCTCACAAGCACTGCACTGGATGAAAAGAATATGCATGAAACTGGCCCCCAGCACACGCTCTAACAAGCTTTTGTAGCCACATATGCAGATTCTGTCCTGCAGCACCTCTGCTTTACATCCTTCCTGTAGGGGAGCTAAGAAAATCTCTCAGGATTTTCTGTGAGGCTGCACAGCCACTGATGTCTTCCTGCGATGGTAAGGGTGCCCTCGCAGACAGAGATCTTAAACTGTGGCAGGAGTTAATGAAGCCCTTCACCGAGAAAGCTGCATTTCTCTTGTGCTGAGATTCCACAGGAGTTCTCGCGTGCCCCAGGCAGCACTGCTCTATCACATTTCTGCCCTCATGAGTCAGGTGTCTTATTGCTGCCAACACATGGGTGTCATCCTTGACCTAGAGGAAGGTTGTGCCCACTCCTCCAGGAGTTTGGTGTGTGTTAAAATGAAGATTAATCAGCCTACTTTCAGGAAATGGGGCAATGGCTCCATTCTCTTTTTGATGCTGTGTTAAATATTATTAGGTGTCCATATGTTTGAGTGGAGTAATTCTACACATTATGCAACATATGTTGTCTCCCTACTTGCTTTCTGTATTTCAAATATGGTCAGTACTTAGTCCATCACTTATTCATTTAATAGTTCTCTGATAGCAACATGAATAGTCAATATTAAAGCAAATTTCCAGTCATCTTGTACTACAGTTTCAGTCTCTGGTCCCTGAATTGTTGCTTAGTTCAGAGAAGGCAGAGTCCAAATATTGCTTTACTTCTTGTTTTGTTCCTATTTTGTCAGGTGTACAAAGAGGGCAGACTGTGAAATGGCTGATAAGGAGAACGACTGGCTCTGGAGTCCAAGTGGTACATGTATGACTATCATCAGTGCAGACCCTCAAAACATGAGTCGTAGAGCTCCTGCTAAGGTAGGACAAGAAAATCCTTTCCCTGCACGTTCTTAAAGCACACTGATGTGACTACAAAGCAAATTAATGTCTGTTTTTCTTTAGGCATGGTGATAGCAAGAAATATAAAGTTTTTGAGGTATCTCAACCTTTCAGACTTCTCACAGTGCTCTTTTCTTCCCTCTTCTTCTTGCAGGATGTAGTTAATGTTTTCTTCTAAGAAATGCTCCTTTTAACCTTCTCTGTAAACCACAGTGATGCATTATTATGGATGACAAAGCACTTAGAGCTATCTGAATATTACGAAAGTGTTGCACAATATTGTATAGCCTATAAAAGATAATTGATAGGGGAGATTTCATGTTGCCCTTGCATCCTCTTTCAGCTTACTTGAGCATAAACTTGAGTAAGTAGTGAAGGCATAAGCTGTTTCTTTAAAATCTGGCAGTGGATTTGTCTATACAGCAAAATTTGTCTACATACATGGAGAAGTTAAATTCAGCATGCAAAACTACTACGTGGTGACAAAATGAAGCATTTGGAGAGTAACCAGTATGTCATAGCTTGCTTTGATTTCAAGTGCAGCATGCTGGTACAGACTGAGGATGTACTGGTTGTGCTCAGCAAGTAAAATCGGGTTAATTTTGAGTGAAGTTACTAAATGGTTTTTGATCCCTCTTGATCAGAAAGAAAGAGACTTCACTTTGGGTTAGTTTAATTTCATTCCTAAATGATGTAAGCAGCATTGTCTTAAGGTTGTCTCTGCATTGAGAAAAAATGTTATTAGAATGTACATAGCCTAGTTAAATCCACACCTTCTCTTACTTCAGACCTTGTCAACTTGTGTTGACAAGACTTTAGTGCCTCATATGAGAGTATGAGGCCAAAATATCTAATCAACAAAAACAAAGCCAACTTCAAATGAGCATCTACATACAACCTGTAATATTGCCACTGTCATCTTCTCCTCTGAGTTACTTTTATTCACCAAAAAATATTGCAGCTTATAACATAGTGGACCAGTTTCCGTGAGAAAGGAACCATCCTCATTTCTACTGGAAACACAAAATGTAAAAAGCCTAAACTGTGGAATTAACATACCTGAAACATTGAATCAAGGGCATCATCTAAAATCTGAATTCATTTTCTTTTTCCTGCCTTGCTAAGTTTTCCCACTCTATTTTGCCTTTAGTTTCTGACATGCATACTGTATTGATGATTTCTTTAGGAAGATTAAGATCTCACCACCACTCTCAGAAATTCTTTTTAAGTAGTAGTGATAAATGTCAGGATTTGGGTGTTGTTTTTTTGGTTTTTTTTCTTTGCATGTACATTGAATCTTGAGAAAGCCACTTTTATCTGCTCAGCCCTTTCAAACTCCAGCTTTTCCAGCCCATTCAGCCTTGGTTTATTTGCTGGCTAATAACACCTAAAGTTAATGTAATTTTCATTAAGTTCAAGACTTACTTAAGTCTTAAACTACTCTGTTTACTGAACTGGATGCTGAGTACAAGAACAAAAGGCTGGGCTGGGCTTGTATCTAGAGACATTTTTGTTTTGATCTAGTGCACTGACAAGGAAGGAGTTTTCTGTACCATTTTTATTCAGCATAGACCCAGCTGGAAAAGTGGCAGAAAAATAAGAAGAAAACAAATAAAAATTGAAAAGGGGAACCACGTTGTGCAGTACCAGCCAAAATATCACCCTTGGCTGGAAAAGAAAGCAGCTGAAAATTCTGTGGCCATAAGCCTTGCTGAGCTTGCTTACTTTCTTTCAAATATTTTACCTGTTGAAAATTTGTTTGCAGGTGAAACTGACAGTAAGTCCATTGCCAACTTTGAGCACTAGTGACAAACTTTGGTGTACCTTTGGTGAAACAAGCCATCGTGCTCAATTAAATGAAGGAGTTATTATCTGTGACCCTCCTGATATGATTCCTCCAACACCGAAAGGTCAAGGTAAAGAAATATTGCTACCTGCCATGCATAAGAAAGGAAAGTACATAAACCACTGCTTCTAATGTGATCCTCTTATATGAACTGAATGCACGGTTTTTTTTGGCTTCCAGTTCCTTGGCTCAGGTAGTCTATTGTTGATCTTTGACCACTCAAACATTAATTTAAAAAAGAGAAAGTTTTACTCAAAATCTTTCCATCGCTGTTTTTTTCAAGCTGTGCCGTTCCCACCAAAATATTCAGCAAAATTGATCTAACTGATACTGCCCACAGAAGCTGCATCATGCCACTACACCTCCCCAAAACAGTCCCTGAAGTCACCAATTCAGTGATATTTCTACCAGGAGCATAGGGATTCTGTGTCCCAAACAAGCAAAATTCAGCTATTCTAATCTTACTCTAATCAAACTGAGATATGAGGCTGGAAGAGCAGCACAGTATGAAGATGTGTTGTTTTAGTTTTATACTCGACTGTACTCGACTATATTTCAGTAACTAGTCTTCTGATCCATGTCAGAAGGTTGTCCTTTCCATCATAAAGCCTTCTGCCCCTTCCACTGTGTGCCCTCCATCTTCTGCAGTAGTGGAAGACCAATGGAAAAATACATGATTGTATTCTTAAGGGCTGTACCACCGTTCTGAACCACTGACATACACTTATGGTCTTTCGCCAAACAAAATTCTGGTGCTATTTCCTCAATAGTGCTTTATTTGAGCCTGAAGTTCGTACATCCTGATATATAAACACAGAATAAAACTGGCAACACAGCCTTCATTGTTAATTGATCAAATTTAAACAACTAAAAAACTGTTCTTCCACATTGTATAGAGGTACCCCTTAGGATTACCTTCTCATATGTATCAGAATTTCCCAAGAGTGTGGTACTTGGAAGTACATTTTAACACAAGCTTAAATTATCTTCAAAGCTGGTCAAAATCCAGTTTTAATTGCACAAAATGTAATGATGTTAAAATCTCTCAAGTTTTAAAATAGCTGGGGTATGTCAAGGTATCAGATTATGCAAAGTGTTAAAGCAGCACTACTTTATTTAGGGCCAATTCACATTCCCTAAATATTTTGAAAAGTAGGACATAAAGAGACTGAGTTGATAAATATGACAGCTTGACATCTTCCAGCATAAAATGTAAGACTAGAAGCCTGTCTGGAATGGCATGAGAGTAACCAAGTCGCTTAGAAATAATACACTTTCCTGAGTTTTTCCCACAGTGACCAATCTGAAAGGATATTCGAAAATAATATCAAGATGTTCAGAAGCTTGGCAGACACTTTGCAGAAGGCAGGCAGTTAGTAACATAGGCAGCATGTGACAGAAAGTCCCGAGCCTTCCACTTACTGTTTAGAAGCCCTATTGAGTTTGGAATGGCCCTGATTACTGTAGCAGTATCCCATTTCCAAGGAAATGGGATATTTCTAGAAAGGAATGATGCTTTATTGCAGCCCTGTTGTTAGAAAATCCTCTGGCATTTCTACCAGTCTGAAATATTAAATGGGATCCAGTGCAGGCAAATGTGACTTCCAATAAAGCTGCTCATGGTCTTTCAAGAACCTCTTCAAGGAAAGCAGAGTTTGAAACTGCCCAATTGCTTGTGAAATAGCTTGTCACAAGGGCTTAATGATTTCTGCAAAAGGCATTTTAAGCAACTTCACCATAGAAAACACCAGTTTCTAAAGATAAATTTTACTCCCTTAGTTCAGTAATGATCCAGATGAGAAGTACATTTGTGTGGAAATCCTGTACAGCAAACTGAGATCACAAGTGCCTATGGTAGCTTTGTGTTGAGGGCACTGTTGGGCATTAACCACAAAGACCACTTGTTTTAATTCACAAGACAATGGCAGTTTTAATCCACAAATGAAACAAGTAATTTTACATGAAGACATATTTGTATTTAAGATAACGTTTGATTTTATATGACTGTTCTCATGCCAGTTTTCATCTGTGTTCAATTACCCTTTTATTCATTTTTTCTTATTATTTCAGACTCTAAAATTCTAGCATGGTGATAGCAACACTGAGAAACACTTCCATAAAGTAAAGCTATTCTGTAATTTTATTTCTTCCATTTATCCTATCCTCTGCTTTTCTTCTGAAAACCATTTGCTCAAAAAACTGTAGTTTAAAAAGACAAAGCAAGGCTCAAATATAACAGGTCATGAGATCTAAAGCATCAATTGTATAGTTAAATATTTGCCGGCACTGCAAAATAATAAAAGTATTATTGTACCATTCTGTTCAAGAGCTAAAGAATTCAACAACCACTTAGATTTTTTTTTTTCTTTTTCTTTTTCTTTTGCGATAGATCACGTTTCGGTTCCATTACAGTTAACCTTTGGAGAGAACAGGATATTTTTTGCATCGCATACTTACCCTTTTTATGACTGTGAAGAAGCAATGAATCTTTATGAAAACCAGCCGTAAGTATTTCAAATTTCTAACTGAGGTGTTTAGATCCCGTGACATCGTGCTTCAGGTTACTAATTAAGTCTTTGGCTCTCAAAATTTTTCAGTATCCCAATTCTTTAACTTACACTTTAATGAGGCATGCAATTAAAGGCCAGTTCATTGGGTTGCTATTTTTGGTAGTTGCTATGTACTTGCAGGTGAGCTCTGTGGATGTCTACTTACTACATGTTGCCACAAGTGTTAGATTGGAGCTTTGGGTTGTGGTGCATTCAAATGTGATGGTCAAAGATGACTCTGCCACCATCATCTTCCCCACTCGAGATGTTACTGCCCCAGGACAGACACAGCCAACTCAAACTCCACATTTTTAACTCAATATATGAAGGTTTATAAAGATCATTTCTGTTTTCCTTGGACTCCGTCTTAAAGTTTGTGAGATGCTACGGTTTTCTGATCATTACTTATATTTCTGAAAAAAAAAAAAGCTTTCTATGGTTCTCAAACTGTTCTTACTATAAATTTTTCAACTTAACATAGTAAGGACACTGTAGCAGATTGATCTACTCTCCATGAATAAAGATGGAATTTAATTTACTTTTTTTGTCAGTGGGGGAAGAAGCCTGACAGTTTGTCATGACTATCATGTTATATTTGTAGATGCTATTCTTGTGCAAGCAATAGGTGGAATTGCCAGTGGGACTGGAAGAAACATATCTGTGAAGAGTCTTCTTCAGCACAGGATGTGATCAAACAAAATATGGTAACGTTTAAAAATAAAATTATTGGGCTTTTATTAGAAAACTTCAATATATTCTTTGCTTTTTGTCTCATATCCGATGGCTGAAGTAGGGATCTAAAAGTGAGTCTAAAGTTAACTCCAGAAGTTTAAGGTTTTTTTTTAGTGACAGTGTGGGGGTGGGAATTTAAGGGTGTGATTGAGGAGGGGCATTGTGACTGAATAACTCCTGAAAGGATATTTTTGTTCCTTTTACTCTGCTTCAATGGGAGGAACAAGATTGCAAGGCTGGGAAAGATAATCACCCACGGCTTTGACATATGCTGTAGTCATTTTTAGCGTGTCTAATTTGAAAGGGTGTAATCAAATCTGTCACTGTATTTTAAGCACAAAGTTATTTAGAACAATCATCCCGTTGTCCGAAGGCCATTGGAGCTTGCTGTGATAAGACTTTTGTTTTGAATAATGGATAAAATGTTTATCTCCCCAGGAGGAAGAATGCCCACAGTTTCTAAACCCTAACCCATCAATAATACCTATGGAGTACCGAACAACAGTGCATTTTGAGGGAAGACATCTAGCTTATTATCAGGTAAGCGGATTAATTCAAAGCTAGCTGTCATTTGTATTCCACTTTAATTCCAGCCACACCCACTCTTCAGGCATTAGATTCTGCTTTCCTGGGTGTTCTTGCTCATAATTCTTGTTAAAGAAGGAAAAGAGCTACACATAAAATTTGTCATAACGTTGGCTACAGTCTCTAAATGTGGAGTCCCACAAAGACAGAATCACATCAAGGCAAAATATCGTAGCTAGTATATATATGAATTGCATTTTAAAGAACATAAAGTGGGCCTCACCTTGAGAATTATTCTTCAACTAATGAGAGGAATTTTAAGAAGTCTGCTTTTTTTCATATCGCTTCCTAATTAAATACTTGCTTTTTGGTATTCTAAAATAGCGCTATTTGGTGTGCTTAATTCTCTCTTCACTTTTCAAACAAACAGGAAAAAAAAAAACCAACTCAGAAATTGCATGATTTTTTAGTTTGGAGGAAACCAACTTTTGTTATTATTTTTTAACCATCAAAAAAAAAGAGCAAGCACTGTCTCAGCTGTTGCAAAGATTTCTCTTTCTTAGTACCTCCTTCCAGAAAGTCAATTGGAAAGCCAAGCAGCTAGTATGACTCTGAGATTTCAATTGTTTTATCACCTGGGTATGCAGAACACATAGAAGTTAGTGTTTGTCTGATAAAAGTAAAGCTTAAAAACTTCTTTAGGTGATAGCTTAAGTATTGTTCTTAGTTTCTGCTGTTTGTTTCTCTGTTTAAATACAACTAATGGTAAATATGCTGGCTTGTATCAATTACTTAAACCACAAGCCATCACTCAACTAAAGAATACTCATGCTTTTTGAGTTTTGTTTTTTTTTTTTACCTTGCCAAATTTAAGTACTGAATAGCTTACAAAATCCTTCCATCACTTCTGCTATGCCTGCCAAGGGAAGGAAAAAGGTAAACAGGTCAGGAGTATAACAGCAATATAAGAAGTGTGGTCAGAGAAAGTTAGAAGGCAAACCATAAATGCTACAATCATATCAAAACCATGTTTGTGCAAGATGCTGTACAATCATATGATCAAAAGTAAATATTTTTGCCCAAAGATATTAAAATAAATGTAAAGGGGAAAAAAAAAAAAAAAAAAAAAAGTGGATTTTATCTGTTTTCTGTGATGGCTGGCACTGGTCACTGGCAGGATTTCTGACTAGGTGAAATGACTCTGACCTGACTCAGGCTGCTTGCAAGAAGCGGAACACAACACTTTGCTGCAGCATTTAAATAAAAAATGGAAACACACTGTAGAAAATTCACTCCAGGTTCTACTGTTAAGCATTGTGAGGAGCTGACAAACTGGTTTCTGCAGAAGAGGGAAAGCTTTCTGTGATCCCTTGACATAAGTGGAAGAGGCCATTCTCTCTTAACAACACATTCAAGGCAGATGCATAATCTAGATGTACCAAATTTACCTTTTAGAAGACTCTTCTCCTCTATGGAAGAGAAACAGCAGAAGGAACCTGCTATGCTAATCTCATTCACCTTGTTTATCATTCTTGTTTATCAACCTTTCTGAACTACCACTAGCAGAGAAAAGAGTGAAAAAAAGCCTCCTTCCTTTTTTTTAGTGGTATCAATTATGTTTAACAAAGCCAAACACACAGTGGTTTTGAATGCTTTGTCATAGTGTAGCAATATTTAACAGTTTGTCTACAGAACAGACCAGCATGCATTTATTTAACTGGGACCCAGAAAGGCTTGTGTGGAATTCAAGTCTCTCTAAGAAGTCAGATGAATGTATAGGCCCTAGTTTGGAGAGACACTGGAGAAAAATAGTTTTTCTTAGGTGAAAGATTAGTGAAAACATCTTCTCTCTCATGGGAGTAGCTCATGTATCCCAGTACAGAGGTGCATTTTTACAGCAGAATTGTAATTCCTTCAGTGCCATAAGTTGAACAGGCGCACAAACAAATGAAATAGTTGTAATTATGGAGGTGCTCATTCCTATGCAGCCGTACTGCTGAAGCAGTAAGGTTGATTACTGAAAGTTATTTTGAGTAATGGCATAACCTATACTCAACATAAAGTAACTTCTCATGGAAGACAGGGTGCTCAGGAGAAACATATGGACAGATCTCTTAGACACTGGCCCTCAGCCCAAGTGCAAATTAGAATGTGGCTTCTCACATAGAATAATTCTGTCATAGGATGTCCTGGGCAGGTGGCAGTCACATAGCCATGAACCCATTTAAGGACTTTATTGATTAGAATATTGGAATATATCCTTTTTTTTTTTATTTTATTTGCCTACATTATTGCTTAGAAAAAGGTGATCAGCAAAATAAATGTTCTGTTGTTACTCTGAACTACTAGCTCTATTATCTTAGTTTAATCTGTGCTTTGTTTAAAAGAGCATGCACAGCCACAGTATATCATTATACTAATAATGACTAAGTGCAGTAGGCAGTATCATTCATTTAAGCATCTCCATTGAATGCAGATTGGTGGTTAAGGTCAGGGTAGAAGAATAAGTCCACAATTTTTGTATAATCCTCTTAACTTGGTAACACTTATACTACAATGAATAAATCTCCTTGTGAGAGCCTTTGCTGGAAGCAAATAGACTAAAAGATGAGAAGCTGTTGACTATTTTTCTGACCCTCTTTCCTCTAAAAGAATTTCAGTAGGAAGCAGAAATAAATCCAATCTGTCCTTTTGCTCTTGGGAATAGCCACATTCAGAGCAAGCAGCTGAGAAAGGCACTGAAGGGAAGTTTAACACTGATCAGTTTATTGCATGCAACTTCTGAGAGACATTCTCCAGCTGAATCCTTGGAAGATTGGCACGTGGTAGGAGAGAGAGATGTACCAGCAACAAGATAACCACAGTAGCCCTCCAAGATTTTAGTTATTAGTAACTTCCCATTTGGATTTGTCTTTGTCATGAGTGTCTGATGCATAAATCACTTCTTGGTGTTTGTTATGTTACCTCTTCTACACCCAGGCTGCTGAGTAGAGCTCTGGGCCTTCTGCTGTAGAGCCCAGCATGGCAGCCCAATTTCAGTTCTCTCCAGGTGGCAGCCATCAGGCACACCGAGGTCCACTCCTCTCCCAACACTGCCTGTTAAACATGCAGGAAAGCTTCCACAGCAGCAACAGCAGAATTTGAACACTTTTGAAATGTAAAACAGGGACAGTGGAGCATCATTCTTCAAAAAAGAGGTTTGTAAGGTGATTTAACGCTTGGAGGATGTGAAATAGAATGGGCTCTAAATACTGCAGGAAAGATCTTTGTGAGCTCAGCAGCTTGTTTTCTGTATGCAGGTTCTGAGAAGGAAGAAGTAAAAGGTCTGTATCCCTCTATATATAAACCTCTGAGAGTCTGGAGGCAGGCCCTTTGCCTAGCTGAGCACATGCTGCTCCTCATTCCCAAGCCTTGATGGGCTCTTCTGTCCACTGCCCAACATGTCACAGCGAAGGGGCAATAACAGGGGCTTCCACTGCACTACTTAGATAAACCTGATCTGTGAGCTGCCAGTGATGCAGTATTAAAGATATATTTATTATCGTCATATACAAGGTTTTGATGACATCAGCAGCAGACTTAGTAACCCTCAGAACAGGAAAGAGAGATCAAGTCACTGAGTATTTTTTTGAAGTACTCTGAGATGCGATTGAAATTGGGACCTAAAAAGCATTAAGGATGAAGGTGGTCCTGTATTCCTGTGGTCTCTGTTGGTCTTCACCAACAACACTTTCTAAAAACATCCTTGTCATTTGTTTCTTAAACTGGTTATTCTGGCAAAGCTGTGCTGTGGGCTAGGATGGGAGGCTGACCCAGCACAGGAACAGTGCCATGGTTTGCTTTTTAGTTGGCTCAGTCCCTTGTTTGAGAACAGCTGCTGAGATTTGTGCTAGTGCTGTTCAGGTGCTGCAGCATAGGGGCAGGAATCAATGGCTTTTTTGAGACAGAGGGTGAAGAGAGGGAAAGAAAGCCTTGTAGGAGGCAGGAATACTCTTAAACTGGTGCTGCCATCAAAGACTGTCTCATGAGAACAGAGCTGGAGTCTTGGTGAAGCGGTAAAAACAAAGCCAGTAAAGTCTGAGGGATGTTCGTTCCCATTTACTGTCTAATTCTTGCCTTCCTCCTCTGCCTGTAATCCCACAGAGAAAACCTTAAAGGGCAGAACTCAAGCAGCTCCACTAATGACACATCTGATGTGTGAAGCCATCCAGCTTTCACATGTCTTGGCTTTTTCTTCATGCTCTCTGAAACCGAGTGCTAGATATGTTGTTGCTTGATTTGAACCTCTCCATGCTTGCACCTTATGGGAATGCTGGAGGGGTGCAGATGGCAGCAAATTGTACTGGCTGGACTTTTCGCTAGCTTGGCTTTCAGGTGATGACTTTAACTGGTTAGCTTTCTCCATTTGATCTTATTACTTCCAGTGCTGGACAATATATTGCCTGGTGGTGTGTTACTGCACTTGGTGAAGCTGTAAAAACTGAAAGCTGAACTTTTCTCTTCCATAGGATGAAAAATTTGTGGTTGGAAACAGCCAATTTGAATTTGAAGCTCCTGTTGAGGCTGCAGAGGAAGGAAGATTTTCATTCATGAGTAAAGAGGTAAATGCAAAAATATGATTTGCTTACCAAATATATGCTGTTTTGTAGACCTTTCAGTATGTGTGTGTCTTGAAGTATGTTGTACTGTTTTCCCTCATAAAAGAGATTCATCAGTGTTAGAGATTCTCCTTTGGTAGCAGCAGCCAAAAGCAGGAGCTTTGGCTCAGAGTTCCCAGGGTCTCCCCTTAAAGTCCTGGATCATTTTGCTATATTTCTGAATCGATGGGTTCATTGTATCGCCCCTGGAGGAATCTGGGGCCATTACTCTTTTATTCTCCACTTTTAATGCAATCTGGTGAAACCATTGATGAGAATTTCAGAGCTCTCCCTCTCCACACACCAATTAATTATCTTTCCCATAGCACAGATTTTACATCTGTAAAAAATGGAATGCTAACAGTATGCCGTTGTTTGGCTTACTTAATGTCCATGCATCTTTCTCTCTGGTTTATTTTACAGAGAAAGAAAATAGTATTCAGAAAAAGTCTACTGAGTTCAAAGCTAAACTCACAAATGTTACACTGACTTTAACCTTATCAGGTTGCTGAGAGAGTGGTTTTGAGAACTAATTAACATTTATGCAGCGTTTGAGTCAAGCACAAATAATTTCCTTTGTGAAGCCATTATATTTTCTTTGCTGTTTTTCTCTCCCACCTGTTGTTATTGCTGCTGTCTTTCAGCCTCAGCAGAAGCCCGTGTCTTGGAGCATGTAAACCATGTGCCTTGGCTATAATGAGGGGGCTGCGCTGCAAAAGATGCAAGAGGTTTCCTCTCTGTGTGGTGCAAGCCTGCCGTGGCCACAGAAATAATGGGACCAGATGGTGTGGGAAGGGAGAACTCAGCAGGGTCCGCAGCTATATTTACTGACACCGAACAGTACCCTCGCTGCTTGGATACTTATAACCCAACATAAATTAAATTAATGAAAAGTAGGCATTCAGATATTGTTCTCCCTTGGTACTTGAAATTCTGAATGAGAAGGATTAGGCTCGTTAAAACATTTTTTCTATAAATATATTGGGCCAAGGTGAAAAAAAAGACCATATGGTTTTGGATAGCTTCTAAAACCTTTGCAGCTCTGACTATTAAGCATCACAGAAAGTATGAAATTTGTCATTTTTTCATCTTATCATTTTATCATCTTTTTCAGTTCTCCTATAGTGCAAATGAAACCTTAAAACTTAAATTATCCATAAGAACAGACAAGGTTAAGATTGACAGCAAACTGATGGGTAAGTACAAAATATGAGGGTTGGGGGCGGTTAATTACAGTAAACAGGAATCTTTTTATAGTTTTGGATTTGTGGATAAGAATGTTACATTTCCAGGTTTTATTGGCTTTAGTGGTGAAATAATCAAATCTGACAGATCAAAAGTTATTAATACTAAATTCATGAATTAAATATCAGTGTTCTATAAATTAAAGGCAATTTTAAAGACTTTGCCAGGATTCTCAAGTTTGAAGTTGCTCGGAAAGACAATTGTAAGCAAAACTTCACAGTTCAAGCATACTTTAGTGGTTTGTTCTCTAAACAGCCATTTTCCTCCCCCAGCCTCCAAAAGCTGCAATGAACTTTCTCTCCCCGTTAACACAGGGGCAATTTTCCTTACTGCCACTCATCTGGACTTCACCTGTAGTCTGCACCTGCAGCAGTCTCAGCTCCTGAGCAGCAGACAGCCTTTGTGTCTGCTGGCAGTCAGCAAGACACGTAAACACTCCGTGTGCTTCCATCTCATTACTTTATTCATTTATTTCTATGGCAACAACAAAAAAAGTGTATTTAGTATATAGCACAAATAAAGACCTGGTCTCTGATATAGATTGCTTATTACTTTGTTTTTACTTCTTTCAACCTCCAGCAGTTACGTCTGTGGGTTTAGTGTGGAGCTGAGGTGAGGATTCTCCATTAAAATCAGTGGAGCAGTACCTGCTGGGACCTGCCCAGCGTGTCTGTGGACCAATGTTTTAGGGCATGATCTTGGAAAAAAAAAGCAAGGCAACACTCTTACTACTATTCATGTGAGGACTCAGCATTGGGAAAACTAACACTACCCCCAAGTAATTTTCTCTACAGTTTAAATCTGAAGACCATATTTTACCGTCTGAACAATACTTAAATTGATCCCCTGTCACGTTGGCAGCACAGAAGTATGTTTTCAGATTTTCCCTATGGCTTTGTGTGCAGTGATGAAAACACTTAAAAGAGGACCTGGAATACACATTCTGAGGAAGTCATGCTGTAGTCTCAGTGTCTTCATTTCCATTCTAAAGGCCGTGACGTTTAAAATTGCAGAATTTTGACCAAATGTTCCCAACATCTTTTTCCCAGTCTGGGAAAAAACAAAACCGTAGAATAAAGGCAGTAGCTAAATTATTAAAGGAAGGTTATCATTCAAATCAAAATGTAGAATCCTTGCAAGAGAGGAATTGAAAAATTATCAACAAGTGTCTCATCTCTCTTTATTATAAAAGATTTTTGTATCCAACTTCTCTCTTGCTTTAAAATTTCCCGGCCGGATGAAATCCAGAGCATCGTATTTTTTATGCATCTTGAAAAGAATTGACTTTGGGTATATGATTGCTGCTGAGAAGCACCTTTGAACCTGTCAGTCAAAGCACCTTCCTTTGTATGACACTTAGCGAATACTAAGTTACGACAGCGCTTTCACATCTTGTGCCATCAGGGGTGCTGAACAGTACGAAATCCAATATAGCTCTTTTATCCTTTGTCCTTTTTATCAATGATTTCACAGCTGGTATCTCAAGGTGATGGATAAGAGTCTGAATCTAATGAGTGGCTTGCTGCTGGTACATTTAATGAGCTGATCAGTGAACAAGGGGAGAGTTTAATGCTTTAAGGCGATAGCTTTCTCAGATGCATTTATGCAATGGGATGTGAGGGATGTCAAGACACTGCAGCACTAACATTGTTTACAGGAGGATGGGACAAAAATCTCACTCCAGCCAAAGAAGCACCACAAAGTGATGCTGTAGGCATACTGCCCCGCTCTGCCAGGTGGCCGTGCATTGGTGTGGGTGGGTAATGCGGGGTTTAGGAAGGCATGGGGAAGAAGGGAAGATTCATTTAACTGCTCAGCTGTTTAGCTGCTCAGCTTCCCTTGCTGTAGCAGCCTTTCTGAGGGCTGCATGAAGGAAGCAAGCTGGTGCCTGGCCATGAGGAAACTTCCTTGCTGCTGACTGCTTTCTTCTGTCAGTAGCACATAGTCAACATAGTAGAGCTGCCAGTCTGGTGCTTTTCCCCATCACTACCTTCACATCCAACATATAGAGTGAAGAGGTAGCACTAATCATTGAAAATTCTTCCTGGCTTCTATTTAATAATGCAGTGATTCCACACTGATGCACTCAATGTATGAAGCAAATGGTGCTGCTCCTGCATTGCACTCAACCCTTCCTTGTAAATTCAAGAGAGGGACTGAATCAAATGCATGCTTTTTCTCATAAATTCGGTGTTACTTATGTCCAAGTCTTTGCATACACATCCAGGGATGTCTCATCTGAGTGCATCCTGGTAGAGCTGCTTGGTATCAAGTGAATATGCTGACTAGATATAAGAAGGGTTAAAAGCAGCCTTCATTGTTGCATTAACTCTTCATTGTAATAGAAAGAATAAAAATGTGCTATTCTAATAGAGACTATAGCTGTGAGACTGAACACAGTTGCTGTTTTGTTTTTTTTTTTGATATGCAGCATTTAGAGAAAGTCTGTCCTTATGAGGTTGCATGCTTTCATACAAATGGTAGAGAGACTGCAGTGATATTTTAGATATCTATTATAATTGTTCAGACCTAGCAGTGGGAATAAGGACACTGCTGGAAAATAATGGAATACCAGCATTCTCATTTTACTTTTTCATTTCAGTAGGAATCAGACATGGCAGCCTCTCGGAATTAGATGTTAAAAGCTGCTACTGCTTCTTGCTGTTATCTAGGAGGACATCACGTGCATTGAAACATCAGTGACTGGAGGGTGGGTTTGCTGGTGTCCTTTCTGGAGTTCTGCTACTCTGAGAATAGAAGCCTTCTTTAAATGGACATCTGTGAAGGCTTTTACCACATGCAGTCTCCAAGGGATTATCTCAGTCTCTCTTGCCCACTGGTCTCTTCTATGTATGTCAGTTTGTTTACTGCATCTTTAAGGATGCTCCTCCTTGGGGAAAAAAACAATGTCACTAAGGGTACCATTTCTTGAGACTTAATGAGCTTAAACAGCTAATGGCCACTGGGAAGGGGAGATGTTGACTCTCTGTCATGTAGTTCCCACTCCCATCTGTGTGCACATTTAACACTTGAAAGAGCACAGGAGGAAACCTGGATAGTTTTCTGCTCCTCTGCTAGGTTAAGCTGATTTACAAAAAGACTCAACAGGTGCCAGAGCCTTGGTGACAGAGGGTGAAGCCACATGGCCAGAAAAATAGGGCAGCCAAAGGATAGGCATAAGCAAGGATGGGATAAGCAGGGATGAAGGGAAAGCATAAAAGGAAAGATCAAGAAGTTCCCCTCTTTGTGATAACCAGCTCACCTGCTCAGGGAAGCACAGCACTCGCGCTGAATAATCTGCGCCACATGCTTTCCCCAGAGAAATGTGTGGCATCTCTTCAGTCTGTTTCTTCTGGGCTAGCTCTCAAGTGCATCTCCAAAGGTTTTTCTGCAAAGCCAGGCTTTCCTTATGGTGCTGAACCACCAGCTACATCTCAAATCTTTGCATCCATTTGGAAAAACTGGTTTTGTTCAGTGACTGCATCATACTAGAGATGGACAGGTGCCAAAATAAGCTTAGTGTCTGGGGCAGCTGGTGCTTGGTTCACCAGTATGTGACTGTCAGACCTGATCTCCTGGTTCAGAAGAATGGGGATTCAACCCCACTGCAGAAGGAATAAGTCATGTGTCAGAGTAGCAACTCAAGGCAAAGAGAGACAAAAGCAAGACAATGGAGAAGAAGGGAGGTATAACTGAGACAAAGGACAATGTTACATTAAGTATTGACCTTGTATTTCATTGAGGCTTTCATGATGATTTTGGAAAGGCCCAAATGTCCTAGAAACAGTTAACAAGGGTGAATTTCATCTTATAAATACACAACTGTCTGGGTCCTATGCCAGCTGTGTCTGTCCCAGTGACACCATGGGATTTTGTGGCCTTCAATCTCTGGCTGCTGGCGCTCCATCAGGACCTGCTTTTGGAGCTGGTCTTGAGCTGTCATATAGCCAGGTTCACTGAGGATGCTCAAAGAAAAGACTTTGTGCTTAAGTGTTTGGACAAAGCCTGAGTGGCCAAAACTACTTGGGTACCTCTTGATAATATATTTTGTACTCTACATGAGGGTAGTTGTGAGGGTTTTCTGTCCAGCAATAAACAAGGTTTTCTTCCAGCAGCATTCACAGTATGCACCTTCTTCACAGGACTGAGCTGAGCAATGGAAGGCTTTGTACATAGGATTTTTTGTAGGGTAGTGTCTAAGTACATTTACCATCTCTATTTCAGTGACCCTGTACAATTGTTCCTATGGACGCAGTGACTGCAGTTTGTGTCTCGCTGCCCATGAAGACTACAAGTGTGTCTGGTGTGAAGAGGATGGCAAGCCAAGCAAGTGTGTGTATGAGAAGCTGTGTCGTGCTCCTCCCACCAACACGTGTCCTTATCCAGAAATTACTCGCGTAAGATTGCTTTTTTTTTCCTCCTTACCAGTGCATTGTTTTTCATCAGAAAGCATCTAAGCAAACTTTTACTGAAACCTGATGCATCCTGAGGCTGTGGAACTTGAATGTGAGAAGTTGGAGAGTCCAGATGTACAGCCCATAGTGAGCTTTGTTCCACCTGGTGAACCAGCAGCCAAAGCAAGAAGCAATAAACTCTCCTTTACTTCCAACAGTTGCTTTTTCAGTAACAAGCCAAATGCTGTGTTTCTGGGCATCGTTCCCTAGAAAACATTCTAGGTACTTCAACTGAGCACATCTAAATTACCGTGTGAAATCCACACACACCATTTGATAAGAACATATCCCAGCCATCACAAAATGCAATAATGATATGGCAGATGCTGAGTCATAATGGGGATATTTCATTCAGAGCTTTTGTTAGGTTCAAGTTTGAACAAAATATAGCTGAAAACAGCTACGGACACTGCCGAATCCTTTTTCAGCTACTTTATTTATGCACTGAGTGCAAAGGGATGGCCATGGATGAAGGATCCAGTCTCAGTAATATGAAATATTGGAAAATGGAGCAGGTGTTTCTGGAGCTGACTAGACAGCAGTCAGCAGCAGCCACCTGCCAGTGCTCAGACTTGCTTATGGCGTATGGTCACTGAAATATTTCTTTATTTACTTTCCCTCATGTAAACACAGATTGAGCCAAAGACTGGACCACTGGATGGTGGAATTCTTTTGACCATAATGGGATCTAATTTGGGAATAAAAGCAGAAGATGTAAAAAATATAACAGTGGCAGACAAGGAATGTATTTTCAAGGAGGAATTCTACTCTGTTTCCACAAGGTAATCACTGTGTATTTTGCACAACATTTTAGGCAAAAAAATTTAAAAATGAACTTCTGTGCATCCTCACAAGAAGACGACATCACTGTAATTATTAGAAATCACCAGTAATAGATAGAACTGGTACAGTACAAGTGCAGTGTTTCATACTAACATGTCAGAGTTATTATTTGAAATTGTTACAGATTCCAGTACAGCAACAAATTTATGATAGCATGTTACCCTCCTCCTTCTGATTCATTGACTTTTTTTTATTTGTTTGGAAAGCTTTCATAAACTGTTACTGCAGATGTCTCAAAATTATTTATGAGCATTTAAATTAAAGGCATGATAGGTGTGCGTCTAGTCATTAAAACTGCTGGGAAGTCTTAACCACAGAACAGCCAATGGGAAAGTCAGCAAAGCAAGAGGAAGCTTAATTCTTTTTGTAAGAGTCCAGCCACAGAGGTTCTCTCTTGGGGACAGGGAGGGAGCCTTGAGGTTTGGGTTAATGTTAGATGACTCAGTTTCATCACAGAGCCAACAAGTCTATGAGTGCTGCATTGCCTGAGCAGGTTGGTAGATGCTTTGTAGATTACTCGTCAGACTTAAGCAGTGCCAAAAAGTGAAAACAAGGTGACTAAGTTCTTTTAGGTGTCTAGATGCAATTCTGCAGATTATATCAAGCATCTAATTTCAAGAGGGAAATACCCTTTTGATAGTAGCTGTTTGAAAGCATGGCGTAAAAGTTCAGTAGTAATATGTAGGTCATTCCAAAAGTAACGCCTTCTATTTATTTCCATGGAAACTACAACAGATATGAAAAGCACAATAACACTACTTGATAGAGATAATTCTGAGATGCAAAACACTATCTTCCAACATAGTCACCACCACTAGCTGTGTGTTTTCACCAGCAGTGAATAAAAGCTTGCATGCTCCACTCGTAAAAATCTGTGGCAGTGGAGGTGACCACTGTTGTCACCACTGCTGAAATGCACCACTTCCCACTCACTGTGCTCACACCCTCTGTGTGGTCTCCATAAACATTCAACAAGCAACACTGAATGTCAGCGGGTGCCATTTTTTCTACATGGAGGAGGAATTCAGATCCTTTGCTTCACACACACTTCCATATCAGACGCCATTTGTCAGACTGCCCCTCTACTGCCATCTATCATATGGCAACAACATGTAATGGAATATTGGTGGGAATTTTCAACCTCTACTGCCTTACCACCAACATCTGCCTATGACATCATGAGCCAACATAATAAAACAGGAGACATTACTTTTGGAGTAGTCCTCATGTTATTAGTAACAGCATTTTAAGCTGTGTGATTTTTCTTTCATTCACTTTCAGCGTTTAAAACTGCATTTGAAACCTTGGCTTTCTCTCCCCTTGATTATTTTGAAGTGTAGTACAATAACTTTTTGCTATTTCTGTGGCGTGTTTTGGAAGAGATATTGGAGATGCCTAAGACATTTCAATTTTTTTTTTTTTTTAATTTTTTTTTAGCTTTTGAAAAAGCTGTGGCTTTAGTTGGTTTGTGGATCAGGCATTTAGCAGCTTCCCAGGCCCCAAGGACCTAAGAATATCTATAAAGCTCTGTATCTCCTACTGCTTCGCAAATCCGTTGCCATCACTCCCGTTTACACACGCATCACTATCCACAAAATTCTGAAAACTCCCTTTCAGCCATCTTTCCCTATTCCCAGTGTTTGCAAAAGCTGCATTGAATCCCAATGTAGGCTTACAAGAATTTCCACAGCCTCTTGGCTTTCTCTAAAGCTTTTTGGTATTTTTAAATATGTGGAAAGGAGCCAAAACTGAGATGACTGGTTCCTTGTATCGTAGCAACATTACTGGTTTCTTAAGCTCTGCCAGTGTGGTAATGGGCAAGAACAAATGCAACTCGCATAATGTAATTTACCAACAAATTAGGAGGTTTTGAAGGATGTTCTCCATTAGGGAAGCCTTGAAAAAGAAGCTATTCAAAATGTTTAAATGGATATCTGTAATTTCGCATCTTTATCTTCTTCTATTCTTTTGTTTAATTATTACTTTATTTATTCTTAATTAAAAAAGAAGAAAAAAAAAAAAAAGATAAAGAAGCACTGACTCTTGCTTCTCCATCCTTCCTGCAGCAAGGAGCTATTCATTTTTTGGAGCTGGTTCCTCCCATGGGTAGGAGGGCAGCAAGCTTTAAGGCACTGGATGCTGCTCGCTGGCCCTGCTGTGGTATTTCTTTGTCAGCTCGAAGAAGCCTGTTCTCCTTTATCGTTTTCCATTTGTAAAAGGGGAGGGAGGCTGTGCCAGCGCTTGAGCTGGGAGGGAGCTTTGCTCAATTAAAATCCCTGCTCATCCCACTGCCGGCTCCCTGTTCACCCCCAAGCCCCAGCACCCGACTGCTTTCCTTAGCTTGACATATGGTAGACATTCTTCTGAAGGCACTGTTTCCTGTTTCTGCCTGACATGGAGATACAACTTCCAAGAATACAGTAGAGATGATGAGGAACAGACGCAGGCGGCCATACGCATGCCAGGACATGCAAGAATTTAGAGAATTTTGTCCACTTGCCAGTACCCAGGCAGAAAATTCTGGAGCAATCTGCAAGGGGACTTGACAATCCTTTTATTATAAGTCCTAAGTTAAGTACATTGTACTCAGTAATTTGGGAGTTGGGTTGTGTGGTTTTTGTTGTTGGGTTTTTTTTTAAGCAGTTGTGCACTGCTTACAGAGGAGCAATAATCCAAGTAGAGAAAAAATGAAGGAAATGAACAGTGATTCCTAGGGTGTGTCCGGTGTGAAACTGCCCGTGCAGGCTGCAGACACTGTGTGCATCCTTATCTAACTGAATTATCAGCTCACCACTAAGCATTTGTCCCACCTTTCGAGTGTGTCAAATCCTTGCTGCATTTTCATGCTTTTATTCTGCATGTCACCTGTTGGAAACAGAAATCTAAACATTGTGGCTCTCCTTGAGCAGCAGTGAGGGTTAAAACAGGATGTTTTCTCCTCCACTGTTCCTTGACCTCTGATTTTGCGTGGGTTATCTGAGGATTTATTTTCAGAGAACAGTAATTCTAAAAGGATTTTGATCGTAGGTGTGAAAATGCAGTAGCTTAAAGCTGGGAGATAGCAGGATTCACAACAAAAGCATTAGCAGCTCCGATACACAGTTACAAGATAGCTGATTCTTTCACCAAGGTCTATGAGGGGTGTCACTGGGTTTTTTAACACCACCAGATGATGGGAAAACTTTGTGTAGGGTCATACGGTTTGGCCCTACCTCTGGACTAAATCTGAGTCTTCTACTAAGAAGTGGGCTCAGTAGTTGCTACGTATGGTGCTCAAGTTTCAGTTTTACTCCATGTAGATATGATTAAAATATTCCTGGGTGGTTGTGGTGGGAATCTGAGCCAGAGCTCAAGTACCTCCTGTAGGATAAAGCCAAGTTTGTGCTTTTGCTGGCAGCAGGTGTGCTAACTATTGTACCTTGCACTGTATTGCAGCTGTTGCTGCTATCAGATAAACTTAGATTACTGTTTCTCGCTAGGATTGTGTGTCAAGTTGGAGAAATGAAGGAATCTAAACAAGGTCAAATTGAAGTTAACATCAATGGAAAATTAGGTAAATCACCAAGTAACGTGCAGTTTACATACCAGGTAAGTGCATTTTTTTTGGCATTGATCTGTTTTCTACTTTGTGCATTGCTTGAAGTTTACCTGTTAAACACTTTTGTTTGCCTTAAAAACTTTATTTAATCAGCACAATGGCTCAAGCATGCTAGAAAACACTAAATTCAAGCATTTATTTACACAGAAGGTATATCAAAACCATTCTTATCAATAGATCAGAGTCTTATTTTGAGATGATGTTTGCAATGTCGAGTTGAAAAAACGCAGCAGAAAAGAAATTGCAGTCGACTTATTAAGCAGTGATACAATATCTCCTGAGTGTCAGTACTGAATAAAAACAAGTCAGCACTGTAAAAATCAGGTTGTTCAGGCACACAGTTTAATCGCTGTGTTTAGGCTACCAGTGTTCTTAATTGCAGGAATTAATGCGCAGCAGCTGAAGAATGAGTGCATTAATTTTTTTAAGTAATTTATTTCATTCCAAAATATGGCATGCAGAGACACAGACAGCATGATCTGAGTCAGATTACACGTATGCTTTGTTGTCAGTGACACTGTGAAGGAGAATCTAATTTATGTCTTTAATTGCTTTACCCTAAACATGGCCATGGGTTATTGCTGTTCTAGTCTGTGGATTTAGCAGCAAGCAGCTTTGTCTGTATCTGTGAGGTCTTCCAAATTTCTAAGAGCGTGTGATAGCTGAGAGGTTTAACTAATCTCTATTCTCATCTTGGTATTTAAAATTATGTCTATAAAGTCTGTAAATCTATAAAATATGAAGGATGTGTTACAGCTTTATCATCTCCTATGTTTTAACTTCTGTCTCATTAATTCTTTGTACATTGTGAGAAGGAAAGGAAGGGAGTCAGCAGTAAGAGGTGGAAAAAGTCAGGAATGACATTCAGCTGAGAAGAGGATATTCTGGTTTTCACAAAAGAGGCTAGAAGTGTTGTTTTTTTTTCCTATTATTTTGAGGCAATTATCTCCTCTCCCTCATAGTATCTCTGCAAAAGCACACATTTTGCTTGAAAATGGTGTTCTACTGTCACAGCCCTCCTCTGTTCCTTTGTGGAAATGTAGGTTATAATTAAATCTTCCTTTGTCAATCATCTCATTTATCTTAATGAGAGCAGGAAATGTGCAGAAACGTCATGTCCCATGTTTGTGTCCTCACTATCTCTAGGACAGAGGCTATGACATTACACTGTGTATGTGTTGTACCAGTTCTCCTATGCTTCTCCTGCATGTAAAGATTATTTCATGGTTTCCATGAAAACCACACAAGTTACAAAATGAATTGAAATGTAATGTGAAGCCCTTGTGTAGGCTTAGAAAACCCCTGTGGGAACTTGTTCTGGTGGGATTCTGTGCTCAGTGCAGCTGTGAGATGAGACAAGAGCAGCGCTGCTGCCTTCCACTGTTTGAGGGAAAGGCCCACAAATGCCTGTGGTGCCCCAGGACAAGCTGCCATGCACAGCTGTCGTCCAGGTGGATGTTTATGTGAAGACTTCCTATGTGCCAGTCTCTGAATGGATTGAGGTTACTGAAATATCAGATACCTAAACTAGCTACTGCTAAAAAATGTCTTTATTTACCTCAAAAATCTTTCCATGGGGGCTTTCATTACAGAATGCCGAGCAATAGCAAAGAATACAGAATCATCAAGCACAGCATTACATGCTTTACAACTAGAGAAATTCCTTCCTACGTTCATTTTTCTTTTTGTTCCTTAGAAAATGAAGCCAGCTGTGGTAGTATTAAAATCAGTGCAAGGCTGTCACACTCATGCACACCTCTGCAAGTGTGACATGAGCGCTTCTGGCATCAGAACAGATGGTCAGTACAGCCAGCCTAGGCAGCTGTTGTTTGAAAAGTTGCTTCTTGTTTCATTGCAGTTTTCAGGCAGTTCCTTGGTGGCTCGTTTTAGGAGATACACGAAATCTGTGCTTTATATAAAAGCTCCACTCTTTGATATATAGAAAAGAAAGAAAATACTTTTCAAGAACCTTTCTGAAATAAATCTCCTATTATGTATTTTTCCCTTTCCTTGGTACTCTATCTGCTGCTCTACTGCTGGTAAATACCAGTGATTCTGCTGTGTGCTTTGATCACCCTCAGCACAATTGCTTCAGCTTTAGCTGTGTCCACTTGAAATGCAGTGTGTGGCACTACCACACATGAGTGTACAAACAACTCAAGGAGACAAGGCGCTGCTCCGCCTGGTGTCTCTGCAGTGCAGAAGTGTTACATACTGCCCACAGACTGGGCTTCATACATCTGGTAGGTGGCTGCCAGCAAGACCTCATAATCAGTTACCAGGTACTACTACCTCTGGCTGCAGTCAGTGCCCAGCCAGAACAATGAGGTGTGTTTTTAAAGCTGGACTGACAACCTTCAGCAGTCAGCACAACCTGGGGTTATACTCCATTCTGCCAGCACAGTGCTGAGCCAAGCAGCAGGTGAGACTTCCGCTAGTTAGGTCAACAATCCACTTAGAAAGAAAGCCAAGGTTTCAACTTAAAATCATTTCTGAACTAAAATGCCCCGTTCCTTAGAAGTCTGTGCTATATAGTAAATAGTCTCATCTATATTTTCTCCATAACAGAAAGTTTTATGTCCCCCTACCAATCACAATTTCTTCTATCCTGAGTGTTGCTCAAGTACAGACATTTCAGTGAAATTAAATTCTGATAACCTCATCCTCCTCCACTGACCTTTTATTGTTTGTTTCACTATAAGCAGAATCCAGCAATAACCATTCTCCTTTTATTGAAATAGAAATGAAATGACACTAAATTTTAATGTCCAGCTATGCTGTGCCTCTGACAACTTGGCTGGTCTCTGTTCAGGAGAAGCCATGCCATGGATAAAGGCCAGTCCTGCTTTTTGTTTGTTCATCTGATTGGTTTGTTGATGGCAGTGAGAAACAGAACTAAAGGTAGGAGTTAAGCTTTTCCCAGCTAAATGACCCAGACTAGTGATACCACACAAGTGTGCTTCCTTCCCAGAATATCTCATCTTCAAACTCAAGCCATCAGAATGAGAGCTTGCAGCTGGCTCCAGGTTCTTCAGTGCCTGTTTGCAAGAGCAGCTCTGTGAGCTTTAGATTAAAAAGATTACATGGTTTCACAAAGCCCAAATAAGTGTAAGAAAGAGCAACAAATTAGAGTCTGATCTGAAAACAAACATGAAGATGACTGCTCACTGTACTGGGAGTTTGAATATGAATCTGTATGGAAGGATAGATTTGACAAGGTACTTTTTTCCACCGCAGTGTTCTTGCAAATAACTATTTTTCTCTATTTTCATCCATCCTCTGGTTTCCTTCCTGATATTAGAAGCAGTCACTGGGGGATCTCTCACTGCCACAGTGCTATCAGTGCCACAGGGCTCCAGTGGAGGCTCAGCTCCCTCCTTAATTCTTCTCCACAAGTCTTCACCATGGCACATCCATTTTGTACTATAGTTTGGGGGAGAAGGGCAGTTTACATGGCTCGTTGCCATTATGATTGATGCTAATAAACCAGACACCCACAGCAGTCTGGAAATGCTGCCAGAGGATAGTGGTTATGTATTATCCTTCTGCATAGTAATAAAAGTTCTGGAGCACGTCTTGGCTGTGTGTCAGCCTGCACAGGGGCCAGGAGAGCTGGGTAGCTCAGAGGTCTTGGGAAGTTGCCCTTCCTCACGTGGATATTATTAAACCTAATTTCTGTCATCTGAGGCATCACTTAAAAATATATCCCTCCATTTGGTGCTTGTGGGTTCTGCTTGAAGGCTGCCAGTGAACACTGGTACAGGATAGGCAGGTGTTCCAGCTAACGTGCTTCCGTTTCTCCATCAGAGCTGCCCAAAGGGCTCTGTGGTCTGTTCAGAAAATGATGTGGTCTCTGCCTCGGGACAAAAAGATGCTGCCTACAGTCCAAACCATCCGTGGTTTAGGATATCAGCCCTGCGTGCAAGCCTCCCACCCACAGCAGGCAGTATGTGTCACTTGGCATACGCTCTGCCTACACACCTGGAAACATTCAGGCAAGCTGCAGGTTCACACACAGCAGCCCAGGGAGCAGGGCTTGGCCCACCGGCCTGCACTGGTGTAACCCAGGAGCGAGGCCTGGCTGCGCTGTCCCTGCAGGCCTATGAGACAGGCCGGCTCAGGGAGCGGCTGCTGGTGTGCTCAATGGAAATCGTCCATGCTGTGGGTGGGTGCCGTGTCTGGGGAAACAGGTCCTGTGTGCGACAGAGGGGGGGAAGGAGCAGCTCGTGTGCCCTGTTCTTAAGCTTGATTCAGCTCCTGTGGTTACCTTTGCAGCCCATGAAATTACACTTTGACCTTCATGAAGGCGGTGAGTGCCTCCAGCACTTCGTGGACTACGCCTTTAATGTGTTTAATTTTTGTGCACGAGGGTTGGCAGAACAGTTCAGCACTGAGCGGGGTGGGAGGAATAATTTTGGTAACAAATGAGTTGTTTTACAGACCTGCTTCAACAGCCAGAGCCAGCTGCAGCTGGGATCAGGATGAGGAAAGAGAAAGGATACTTGCTGGAGACAGGACAGATGAGATAAATGCAGAGTAATAACACGCTGTGTACACTGGTGAGAGTATTGCCCACATGTACGTGTGCATCCTCCTCGGGCTCACAGCACAACATCCCATGCCTCCCATGCGTGGAAGTGCAGGGGCACACCGTGCTTGTGGCTGTGCAGTCCCACTAAAGGCAAAGCCCAGGACAGAGGTTGCTGCAGTAGGAGCTGGCAGGAGGGAGCTGAGGCAATTCTACCATTTGCTGCCTGCTACGCCCACTTGACACATCCATCTGTTGCTGGCTTCCCCTTGTGCTGCAGCTGGCAACTCCCACAGCATCATGGGGATACATTCTGCCACCGTCCTCTTTACCCTCCCCACTTGTCTCTGCTTGTGGTCTGGAAAGGTTGCTTTTTCTCCAGCATCCCCCCTTGAAGCACAAACATTGTGCAAGGTCTCTTTACATCTCTGCTGGTCTCCCATCCTCTGTTGCTTTCCAACT